CAGAGGAAGATGAAGTTCGAGGTGCAAGAGGGTTAGCGGGTCATCAAAGCAGCCCAGGGGGGCAGCGAGAAGCGTGCTGTCCACAGGAGCCGGCACTTGGGAGAAAGCCTAGCTGCACAACTGTCCATCACAGCAAGGTGGGCATCACAGCAAGGTGGGCATCACAGAAGGTGGGCATCACAGAAGGTGGGCATCACAGCAAGGTGGGCATCACCAGGCAGAGGAACCCTGGGACAGAAAACTAAATCTTGCAACATGGGAAAGGAAAGAGGCAAGCATAAGAAGAAACGATGATGGGCAGTTGCAGGAATAGACTGATCTTACATTAACACCTTTACCAGAAAATACGGTTAAAATGAAGTGGATTGGGTCGGGGCAGACAAAGCTTAAACTACCTGAACTTCTGAGAGGCTCGCCCAGGGACACCACTTCAGTGGGATCCGTCAGCAAAGCCATTCGGTAGAGTCCCTCTCTAGAGGCGGGTCCTGATCTGAAACCATCACACAGGTGAGCAGAGTCCACCTGGCCAGAACGTGACCCCACAGAGAAAGGTAAGAGGTCCCTGGCTGTGGTTAGCGACTTTTAGACCATCTTCTCCGCACGCGTGTGCCTGCCTCCGGCTCCCAGGAATGGGCGTCTGTGGCTACCCAGACGTCAAACAGTCGGATTGGGGGCACTGAGACAGCACGGGGGTTGTGGGGACTCTGATCTCTTCCAGCACTCAAAAAGCAGTCCCCAGGGTAGAGTTCTGAGCTGGGGGCCTTCTTATGCTCCATCACCTGAACAAACAATCTCCTTGTCACACCACTGTCACTGGAGAGAAAAAAAAAAAAAAACAGCCAAGGGTTCGCTGGAGCATCTGCTAGTGAGTGGTTTACAACATTGTCAGCTCTCCCACTGAGTGTCCACCCTGCCGCTCTGCTGTTATTTAATGCCAATGAAAAACAGGAGACCCGGGTGGTGATTACCAGCTGAGCCAGCAGTTGGCTCCGGCAGCTCAGAGTCCCTCATTGCAAGCCCAACTCCATATCCTCCCCCTGGCAGGGGCAGATAGATACACACCCGCCCCCATCCGCTGGGTACCAAAGCCGCTGCCCCCTTGGTGGGAAGTTGTGAGGGCGCCATGTCCCTCGGAGCTTCCACGAGGCTGATGAGGCCCAGGAAGGGTGGGCGTGGCTTCCTAGGAGACAGAGTGTGCTCTGTTCTTTGGCTCCCCCTGGGGAAGGGGGCTGCCTGGGAATTCAGAAGGTGGAGGCGCCCCCCCCCATGCAGGTATGCCACATAGGTATAGACACGCTGAACCTGGGCCAAGTTCTGCGAAGACTGAGGTAAAACTGGGTTCTTTCTACAGTTAATTACGTGACTGTTTCCTGCCAGGGGCTAGCTTGTGCTCGATGCTGAGTTTTGCATTAAAACATCAAACGTGAGGTCAGTTTTCCTATACCATAAAAGTGGCAGGACCAAACTTAAGCTTCTCTCTCTCTCTCTCTCTCTCTCTCTCTCTCTCTCTCTCTCTCTCTCTCTCTCTCTCTCTCACACACACACACACACACACACTGTGTGTGTGCATATGGAGGTCAGAGGTCAATTTCAAGTGTCATTCATCAGGACCCATCCAGTTGGCTTTTTGAGACAGGGTCTCTCACTGGATCTCAGGGCTCTCAGATTAAGGCAAGTCTCGGAGACTGACTGGCCAGTAAGTCTCTGGGATTCGCACATCTCCACTCCACCCACCCCCAAGCAATGGGATGGCAGGCGGGCACCACGTATGTGGGCGCTGGTGGTCAAACTTGGGTTCTGACGTCTGCATGGCAAGCACCCTGACATTGCCTCAGACCCTAAACCGTCCACTTTCTACACTGGAAAAACAGATATTTGGATTTCCAAAGTATTTTGTTCCTTCACAGTTGTTTTTTTTTTCAAGACATGCCAATTCTGAGTATTCTACAATAGACTGAGCATGTCTACAAGTGCACGTCATGAGCCAAGTGGCTCACAGATCCTAGAGCCAGGACTTCATTGTCTGAAACTCGGGAAGCTAGTGTGCTATGCATTATGCAAGTTTGAAAAAAGGTCCAGGAGCATCTCTAACAGTGGATTTGAGACGGACGATCTTTCTCACCCTGCAAGACAGCTGATGTAGCTATGGGTTGAGCCGTCTCCTATATAGATGCTGTGAGCCCTTCCGTTGAAACCACTGAGGTCCCAGGAAGCTGTTGGGGGAAGGCTAAGGTCTCAAGTCCATGTCCGGAAACACTGTAAACCAATGATTTTGGAAGCTTGGGGATTTGTTTTGTTTTCTACATTTAAAAAAAGTTGTGCATTTGAGTCTTCCTGGCTTGTATCCCCCTCTAGGACTAACTGAAATATGTAAAGAAAGCAGCACCAGATAAGAGATATCAAGGTCAACTCTTCTGCAGATACTCCCCCCCCCCGTGGCCATGACATTCATTCCCTGCTGTCTATGGACAAAGGAGGCACTTGGCGTGGCTTACTGTCAACAATGGGTTCTTTAAAACCCTTGCAGGGCCCGGAGAGATGGCTCCGTGGTTAAGAGTACCTGCTGCCCTTCTAAGGGTCACTTCTCAGCACCCACATCGGACAGCTCACAACCACCCTTGACTCCGCCTCCAGGGGTTCTAGTATCTCTGGTCCCCAAGGACACCTGTACTCATATGTACACACATACACTTTCTCCACACACAGACACATAGTTAACAACAAACCAAATCCCCAAAACCTTCTTGGTCTGTCAGCGTCATTCTTATCCCAGCAAATGCATGAGTCCAAAGGATTGAGATCAATTAGCAAAGACCACTGAGCCAGAGTGTTGGAAATAACAAGTCTACCTCATCTGCCTGAGTCGTGATCCATCAAGGCCATGGCCATGCGAGGCGATTGGAAAGGGGAAGCGTGATTTTAAAAAGACCTGCCTCTGTCTTCATGGGTTCCTGCCTATTCTCCTTTATAAAAAGGCAGGGGACTCCGTGTAGGGTTTACAGGTTTCCTGGAGTTCACACTGCAGCCGGCACAAAGGGAAGGAGGCCCTCAGCCTTCACCTGCTCCCTCTGCTTACCGCTCCAGGGTCTTCTTTACAGTGCAGGGAGCCAACACATGTGTCCATGTAACGCACCCACCTGTACCCGACCGTATGCACCATGCTGCCACCACGTCTAGAGATTTGCGTGCCGTTCTGTCCTTGAAAGGACGATGGAAGGAGCCCGTAAGGCCTGGGTGTGGATTCTGAAGTTCGAAGGGAACGTTTCAAAGGGGGGGGGGTTCTAGAAGGGTCACATCCCCTCTGGGCTGGGACACACCTCAGGAGAGCATCTCTCCTTCCCTTTCTACGTATCTATCTGTGTGTGTGCAGGTGTGTGTCTGTGTGTGAGCGTGCGTGCACATGAGTGTGTGCATATGGAGACCAGGAGTCAATGGCGGGAGACCTCCTGCGTCACTCTCCACTTTACTTATTTTTGAAACACAGCCTCTCGCTGAACCTGCAGCTCTCTGATTTGCCGACAGACCGGACAGACTCTCCAGAGAGCTGCCCGTCGCCTCTGCATCATGGCCGGGGGTTGGGGATCCAATCCAGGTTCTTAGGCTTATGCAGCAAGTCTTTTACCCACGGGGCCATCCTTCCAGCACTCCTCCCCCGCCCCCCCGCCCCAGTTTCTTGACCTCATCTTTGGATGAAAAGGAAACGCTTAAAAGGGGAACAGGGCCACACCAAGAAAGGGTGCCAGGGATGGTAGAAACATCCCAGGTGTCTTAGTCACCGTTCTATGGCTGTGAAGAGACACCATGGCCAAGGCAACTCTTATAAAGTAAGCATTTCATTGGGGACTGGCTTGCAGTCTTAGAGGGTTAAGTCCATGGCCATTGTGACGGGGAGAATGATGGCTGACACGGTGCTGGAGAAGTAGCTGGGGAACTTTATATCCTGAACCAAAGGCAAGAGGAGGGAGAGAGAAATACTGGGCTGGGTGCGGGCTTCTGAAACCTCCAGGTAACATAGTTCATGCAGGAAGGCCACACCTATATGAGCCTATAGGGGCCATTCTTATTCAGACTATCTTACCAGGTAACATATTTATAGGTTATTACAGAAAATCGAACATCTCATGGTTTGTGTCTCACACGTCCTCCAAGGACCTGTATGCTAAAGGACCTTAACCCTACCCTTCTCTCTTTCTCTCTCTCTCTTCTCTACTTTCTGGCCATCATGAGATGAGCAGCTCAACTCCACCACATACTTCCTTCCATGGCTCTCTATATTGCCACGTGTCTACAACAGGGTCATATGGCCATGGGCTGATAGCTGTGAGCCAAAATAAACTCCCGCTTCCTGCAAGCTGTGTGTCTAAGGTGCCCTGTCACAGTGATAGAAAGATAGTCCCGCATAACTTAGCAAGTACCGGTAGATCACTCACTCGTTGGTGTTCCTATTTCCGTGGACTGGAACAAGTCACACCACTCGGTCTAATGGAAAAGGCGGCTAGAAAATCTACTGGACACACATAAGATTCAGTGAGAAGTAAGTAACGTGTGCCACAGTGTTGAGGGTCTTGTCTAAACGGAAGGGAGGGAGGAGACCTTTGCGTCATTCCTACCTGGAAATCTGACGCCCTCCTTCTCGTTCGCATGTTCAGTGTGGATTCATGCTCTAACCCCGTGTTATCCCCCCCAGGGCTTGGCTCTCCGTCGTGAAGAGTTGAGAATCAGCAGCACCCAAAGGAGACACAACTTCCTGGAGAATCTGGTTTTTGTCTGATTAAAATGCGAAGCCAGTCTGCGTAATGATAGCCCTTCTGGCCCCGGGTCAGGAAGAGACAGGCACCTACACGCCCATGTGCATTTATATAATTTGTGAATAATGGATCCTTTTATTGGGCACTTACTATATATCTCTGTGATTGTTGTTTTATTGTTATTACTGTTGTTTAGAAAAGCAGCATGGCCAAGTCAGACTCTGTGGGACTAGATAACTGAGAACCAGGTACTCCATCTGTTCAACCATTTAAAATAGAGACGGGAACACCACCTCCCTGGGAGTTTTGTAGAGGTGAGTGAAAAAGTTGGAAGTTCCACTTCTAATATGAGTACTCCATAAATAAGAGCGAAGCCAGCAATGTTGCCAATAGTTAACCTAAACAGAAGAATTATAACTCAAACCCACCATGTATTTGAGTAACGGCGGAAACCACTGTCCGCCATAGCCTTTCCTTCTTGAAAGGAAAGAAGAAGCTGGCGGGGAAGAGAAGAAAATGAATGTGGAACGCAACCTCTGAATCCCTTTTCTGGTGTGCAAAGCCACTGTGCACAAGTGTGCCGCTTTCCCCAGACAGACACTCAGCACCGAATGCCACCCCCAGAAGGAATTTCACAGCATTCTCAATGCTGCCCCGCCCCCAGGAGCTCCAACTGCCCCTGAAGCCCGACTGACACTCCACAGTGTCCATCCAAAGGAAGAGGCTGGCAGCATGCAATAAATACTGACCCTGCCATGGTTTAATTAAATCTTTGTGGAAAAGTATCACTGAGAGGTGGTGGCGCTTTCTCTGCTGCCCTTCACCGAGCGGCCAACTCACTGGGTGTGTGTCATTTCTCCCTGTCACCCCCTGTACCAACACTTGAGCTAACACCGTCACTCTTGCCATGATGTCATTCCCCAAGGTGTTGAAATGCTATTTGAAAACACAGCCCAGATTTTGAAACCAGACCGTCAGTGGGGAAGCCTCCAGGGTAGAAATTCTAGATGTGACTTGATGCCAAGCAGAGACTTGGAATCTGTGACTCTTGCTATGGTGAGAAGTGAGCCCAGCAATAGTGAGGACCAAAGTGGCTGGTAAGCCCAGAGATGAAGGACTCCCATTTCTGCGTCCCAACCCACCCACAGGCAGCCCCAAAATCTTCCTGGTTAAGCCCCATCTCTAGTCACTCCAAGATGAGATGGTCCTAGGAGGCAGGGAGGGAAACGTTAGATACAATAAGACCTTCAGTTCATCATTTGATCAGAACTTCCAAAGTTTCTGTTTCTTCTCCCCTCAAAACCAGGTTTAAGGCAGCCGGAAAAAGATGGCAGCTGTGGTTGGAAGACGGAAAGCTTGTTCTAGCTTGGAGCCGTGACACATTCCAGGATCTTTCGCAGCTTACCTGCTGTGTGAGGAAGAACTAAATCACGGCCCTGATTCTGCTGCACTGGCCGCACAGGAGATGCTATACACACATCCCTAGAACAGGCCATGATGGTAGGTCAAGGATCCAGCAGGGAGACAGCGATAAACTCCAGGCAAAGGAGACGGAAGGAGAGATTGGGGGTGTGTCAGATCTAAACCAGTGGCTGACAGGCCGTGAAGGAAGCTAGGTCAGGTGGTGCTGACTGTGAGACATCGGATCCCGAGGGGTATTTCCACTGGAGGAGTTCACAGAGCGGGCTCTTCCTTCTTTACCCAATGCGCCTATGATCGAAAGAAATGAAACAGAAATCTCTGTATGCAGCACAATTACCAAATCAAACAATCAAGAACAGACTGTCCTAAGCACTGTGCACCACAGGAAGCCAGAGAGACCGTAACAAGCCATGCAGATCTGCATAGCCAGCGGGGTCAACTGCACTCCAGGACTTGCAGTGTCTCATGTATCCCGGATGGGCTTGCACTGGTTCCTAAGGACTCTACACAATCCAGATGGAAAGCGGGCTTGGACAATGACTGTCCTCGACTTCCTGAGGAAGCTGTGGGAAGTGGTGGGTGTTGGGACATGTTAGCAATGTCTCATCTGGAAAATGTGGAGCTGGAGGGCTACACTCTTCCTCCGCCATGCCTTCCCCATTGAACTGTGAGATGAGAGATGAGTTTAGAGAATCAGAATTCAGTGCCTGGGGTGGGGGAAAGCTCTGCTGGTGACACTGTTTGTCCATCAGGATGGGCGGGACTCCAAAGGGTCCTGTTCTGAAGGTGAGGTTGTCAGACAAAAGCACCAAAGTAACACTGCCCAGATATGGTAGGCAGAACATTCAGTGGTGTTGTACAGCATATTAATAGTGATCAGATACTAGTGATAGGGTCAACCACCATGGAAGGTCTCCAGAATAGATGGTGAAGGCAGAAAGAAAAGTGATGCCCAAACCAGGTGGATCCAGAATGAGTCTTCCTAGACATTAAACTAAACAAAGGTGTGTTCCGAGATTGTCTTAAATCCTAGCAAACATGAGACTGTATTCCAAGATTGTCTTAAATTCTAGTAGACATTAGACTAAACAAAGGTGTGTTCCGAGATTGCCTTAATTCTAGTAGACATGAGAACAATGTTCTGAGATTACCTTAAATTCTAGTAGACATGAGATTAACAAAGGCATGTTCTGAGATTGTCTTAAATTCTAGTAGACATGAGACTGGGCAAAGGTGTGTTCTGAGATTGTCTTAGGTCTTCTTTGCTTTCATAAATACCATGGCCAGAAGCAACTTACAGAAGAAAGGTGTATTTGCCTTACACATCCACATTACAGTCCACGCCCTGAAGCAAGTCAGAGCAGGAACTCAAGACAGGAATCTGGAGGCTGAAAGTGACCCAGAGAAGCCATGGAGGAGTGCTTGCTCAGTCTGATTTGTTACATAGCCCAGAGCCACCTGCCAGGGTTGGCACTACCCACAGTGGGCTAGGCCCTCTCACATCAATCATTAATCAAGAAGATACTCCACAGGCATGTCCTCAGGCCAATCTTCTAGAGCACAGACTGTCCAACTGTTTCACTCTACTGAAGGCTACCTTTCCATAAAGCTGTTTCAAATATTTTGATGACTATTCCTGTCATGGTGGTTCTCCAGGTTATTGGCCTATTCCTTATGACTTCTCAATACCCTGCCCACATCTCCATAAAACTCTGAAATTACCCAATTCGCAGCACCATGTGTTTCCCTCCTGATTCATGTAAGACTTTGGAGTAGATTGCTTCAAAAAGCTAAGTACCATGCAAAACACCGTGCCATAGGAAAACTAGTGTTGCCAAGAAATCTACTCCCAATGCTTTTTTATTCTAGCAAGAGGTGTGTTGGAGATACTTGATCACACCGAAAACCCCAGAGATTGTATTATTTAAATAAAATCAACCACAAGCAAACAGGCAGAGCCAGCAACTAGTTGACTGAAATTAACCATAGAGAACAAGGGGAAGCTAGGAGGTTGGAGGGAGAGGGAGAGAGAGAGACAGAGACAGAGACAGAGACAGAGAGAGAGAAGAGCACAGGAAGTAGAAGGGAGGGACAGCCAGCTAGAGGAGTTTTGTTTCATGAGATAGAAGAAAACTCCCTTTCTGAGGGGGATGAAAGTCAGCTGGCTGCTTTCTCTGCCTCTCTGAGATAGTAGGTTTTCACCCCAGCATCTGTCTCCTGAGTCTTCATTAGCAAAACAAAAAGACAGAGACTTAGTTAAAACAACGTTTGCCTCCCTACATGGAAGTGGCTGAGGAGTGAGCAGGATGCGAAGGCTCTCCCAGGCCCAGGCACCAGCAGCAAGGTGGTGGCGTCAATAGAATCAGAAACTGTGCTGCAGTTTCTCACCCTCGAATGTTGATGTGTAGTGTGATAAAGGGAACAACCCCACTGCACAGACTCACCAGACCTTACCATGAACTAGATGCGGGGCTTTGGGGGTAGTGAGCACTGTATACAGCAACAGTATCCATGGTCAAAGGAACGGGCTGGACTCTGTTGACCTTCATGTTCAGGCACAAGGACTGAGCTCAGCTGAGGGTTTATATGTTAGGATGGGTTGACCATATGCATGTCTATGATAAACACAGACGTTACAATTCACATGTTGCAAATTTCCAAGCATTATGCTTGGAAGATCTTACGCCCTTAATTCTCAATACAGCAAGAAGTAAATTATCCATTTATCCATACATGCAGTAACACATATGATGTGGGACAGTAATTAAAATTGGAACGTTTGAGCTTAAAGGTACAACTGAGAGGCACTCTGTTCCCACCATTGCCTGTGGTTTCAAGAAGCTAAGTATCTCAACTGTGAGGGCACATGAGAAACCCATGGTAAAAATCAGGGACTCTCCCGCTAGACTCTCGGGTAGACCCATAAACTGGCCATCCCTCACCAGTGCATGAGACATTTGGGATTTTGTGATGACAACAAATACAGTTCAAAGAATGCTAAATTCATACATATGTGCCCACAAAGACATGATCCTTCGGCTCAAGCTATGATGTCATCCCATTCACTAACAACAGGACTACATTCTCAACAGAACTGTGGGGGGGGCGTCCTGCCACACCCACCCCAGGAAGAGTTAACTGCCAAAGGCATAGTAGGAGCCCTGAGATAAAGGTTGCCGTCAGCAATAGACTAGAGAAAGAAGGCCACAAAGGCCAAAAGGACAATGACATCTGTATGAAGGAGAACCATGAGTAATGACAATGTCATGTGCAACTCAGTCCGAGCTATGTCTGTAACAGACTCGATGGTTTCCCTTGTGGCAGATGGTCTAGCAGAATGCTACAGGCCTTCACTGGTAGCTGTGGGATGTCCCCTGGTGATGGACACATTTCAAGGCTCTGGTCTGCATTTCTCCTTTCCTTGGTGCTGTTACTTATTCTGTGTCCTGTCAACTTTTAGGAAACACTTGGGTATAAATGGAATTCTTTACTGATCTAAGTAATAAAAACCCGAAGTCAGACAGAGAAAAACGCTGAGAGATCAGAGACAAAGAGCAAGCCACAGCCACACCTTACTTCCTTAGTAAGTCATCAAGAGAGTGAGTTCCTGTTTCTCCCTGCTTACATCCTGTTTTCACCCAGCTACCTCACTTCCTGTCTGTCTGCACAGACCTCCAGAGCTGTATGGTTAGTTAGTAGCAAGCTCCATTCTCTGACCCTCAGACAGGCTTTATTTGTACAAGCAAGATGTCACCACACTTGGGGAATTCTATATTTCCCCACCATCCCACTCCATGCCCATTTCTCTTACCGACCATTGGGTACTTGTCTGGATGTAGAACGGGCAAAACCACCACACGCCATTCTGCTGTCACCCTCCCTGTACTCAAACACAAATATGCAAAACACTTTCCCAAACACGGATAGCATGGACACACAACATGAAATGCTAGCCCCTTCAGCTCCAATGCCTTTGCTTCCTGGATCACAGAGTTTGAACAAAACACACAGCACCCTTGGTTTCCAGAATATTCATAAATTCTATTACTGCTCCTGGGAGTCCTGCCCCCCTCCTCCATATCAAAGGACAGAATGACTCATGGATGTCAGTTTCCTGTTACTCAACCCCAATCCTACCACAGTGTCACACCCCAGTGCCTTTGATATTGTCTCCAACAGATTAGATCTCCTTTGCAAATACCCATAGGAAGCAATGCTGACTGCTCTGGGTACCAAGACAAAATAGAACTGTGGACTAAGAACCCTGGGAAGGTCTCTGTGTGTGCTTGTTTCTGTTTAGATTCCTTTTAAAGCAGACGATTATCTGAACGTTTCCCACCAACTTCTCAGATGTTAGCCCATGTTGGTAATCATTTTAAATAAACGAAACTCTGAGTATCTATCCAGGGAGGAATTTCTGAGCCCATTCTATAATTTTGTTTTGAATTCAATGTTAATGCAAAATTATTGACATTAAGAAAGTACTAACAAGATTGTGAAGAGGCTCGCCTGGTAAAATCTCTGCTGCCCAAGCATTGCCTTTGGCTATCTGGGGCAAAGGCAGAAAGATCCCAGCAACTTGCTGCCTGCCACTCTAACCAAAGCATCAAGCTCCTGCTTCAGTGGGAGACCCTGTCTCAAAAAAATTATAAAGTGGAGAGCTAAAGAGATGAGTTTGCAGGAAAACGTACTCCTGAGCTCCGCCCTCCAGACCCACGTGGGCAGAAAAAAGAGAACTGAGTCCCAAAGGTTACCCTCTGACCTCCCAAGGCACAGCCCACACCCCTGCAACAAACAAACAACAAATGTAATATTTTTAGAGGTGGGGAGTGATAGAGGAAGACATCCCAACATGAGCCTACAACCTCCTGTGAACCCGCAGCTGTGCTCACCTGCAAACACGTGCAGACAACACACATGATCTGACAGTCTTACAAAATGGGGCTGTCGTGGACCCCACGTCACTAGATGCCTATGCTCTGCTTCACAAGACAGCAAGGTGGTTCGTTGTTCATTGTTATTAACGAGTACAGAGCCATCTTCTCACCCTCCACACAAAACAGGAGAAGGAAGGTTTGACTGGCTCCCAGCCCGAAGTTCTTTGTCTATGCTTGTCTTCTCTTTGTTCTCTCTGTCTGCTGTGTTTGGGAGGCAAGAAGACAATGAGCCTCAAAGAAATTTGACATTTGCTTGATCTAGCTCAGGGACAGTTAAGCTAGCTCGGGGCAGTTGACCTTGCCTTGAGCTAGCTCATGGACTGCTGACCTCGAGAGAACTTTCCAGGTTTTCACTTACAGCTTGTGGAATCTGAGTTTATTCCTGAAGATAAAGGGAGATGCCAGAAAGGAAAGAGGCAATGACACCTAAGACCCAGCCCAACACAAGCAATGTCAAAACTGTTGGATTCGTCAGGCTTCTCACATGAGTGGTTTACTTATGATGGAATAAGGACAATGTGAGGATGACATGCGTGTGTGTGTGTGTGTGTGTGTGTGTGTGTGTGTGTGTGTGTGTAAGAGAGGGTCTTTGTAAGAGAGAGACAGACAGGGTGTGTGTATGTAAGAGAGAGGGTGTGTGTATTTGTGTGTTGCATGTTGTGTGTGTGAGAGTTGTGATTGTGTGTAATGTGTGTCTGGGTATATGTTCATGAGTGTGTGTCTCTGTATGTGTCTATGTCTACCTGTCTTTCTGTGTGTATATGAGTGTGCGTGTGCGTGCGTGCGTGCGTGTGTGTGTGTGTGTGTGTGTGTGTGTGTGTGTGCTGGAGATGAGGGCAAAATGAACTAGAATATCACTTCATTTTTTAAGAGATCAAAGTCTGTCAGAGTCATTCTTTTCTAAGTGTTTAAATTTTTGAGAAGACTAATTAGTTGTTCGTACCAAGAGGAAAGCCAGTGTTGATGCCCTGCCTCACCATGGATTAGTTCATTCATGAAGAGAGTCTGGAAATATATGTCATTTTAGGTATAATATGTATAATTCCATAACACAATATGATATCATATATGTACTTACACACGTATATATACATGTGTATGTACATATAGTGTTACATCCTAGTATTTCCTCTGCCTGCTACACATAGAGTACTATTTAATGTTGTACAGATAATAATAACAGGGAAATATGCACACTTCTCATTTTTCTTTGTGTTTTTGGTTCCCCCAGTTTCTATAACACAAATACAGGTGTATTCAGAAAACAGAATAACAAATCTATTTCTTAGGGATGTAAGCAGTAAGTAAACCACATGATGCCCCCATTTCACAAGCGGGTTTCAGATCTGCCGGAGAAACGCTCACCCTCGTGTGACCTTGTTAGGAAATGTCAGATAATGTTGTGTGCGAATGGGGAAAATGGACAGAAAATGAGAGAGGAGAGAAAGAACGCAGAGGGAGGATGAGGCTAGCTCAATGTGGCAGCCACAGCCTTCCAGATGTGGCTGGGAGGTGTCAGCCTCAGCACCGGAGAACCCCTCTATACCCAGTCCCCCCAGACACTCAAGACCTCCTTCCAAAAATGACACCCACTCCTCACAGGGACTTGGAGTGAACGGACGGGTGTGGGTGAAGCAACAAAGAGCTCGTGTAGGAGGGTGGCACGGGTGCCCGGTGCACAGCTTGCCTGGATCCAAGGGATCAGTAAATAAGTGGATTTAACAGACGTCAACACAAAAGCTTTGCACTGGCACAGGGGTCTTTTGCTCCCCGGTGTCAGACCCCTGGGGGTTCAGGGTCCACTCTGGGTCTCTGCTCCTCAGATCTCCTGCCTGTTTCCTGCTTCCTTACACTTTGTCACTGCTGTTTTGTCTTGAGACAGGGAGTCACTTTCCAGCCCAGACTGGCTTCCAAATCGCAATCCCCCTGCTTCAGCTTTCCCAGTGAAGGATCTGGAGTGTGCCCCCAGGCCTCACTTGTTTCTCCAACACTGTCCATCCTCCACCACCACCACCTCCACCTCCACCCCTCGGCTACACAGTGACTTCTAGGCTAGCCTGGGCTACATGAAACTCTTGTATCAAAAACAAACCAAAACAAAAATCCCACAGGCATCAACACCGAGATTGTTCACCATGCCCTATATTTAACTTTCTATAGCAAAGGCTTTATTTTTAGAAGTGTCCTCTCTTTCTCTCTCTGGAATTGTAAGCCAAAAACCTCTTTTGTTTTTTAAATCACAGCAACAAAAAAAGTAATCAATATATGTATAGCTTTAGAGTTGCATTAAAAACAATGAAGATCGAATAGCGTCCTCACATGCCCTCCATGTTCAAGATGATCTAGTAACATCCTAGATTAGCATGTTATATCTTTTGCAATTAATTAACCAATATAATGCATTAACTAAAACCGGTGATTTACATTAGCCATGGCCCATACGCCGTCAGACTTCCTCGGCTTTCTGCCTCATGCCACGACCAGCAAGCACAAAGGGTTACATATAGCTGTGAGAGCTAGTCACCTCTTGGTACGCCAGCTTCTCAGACTTCCCTGCTTTGGGGTAGCCTTGGCCATTTTGAGGACTACGGTTGTAATCTGAGGCCTGACACTCTCCTCCCGGGACTTACCCTGTGTTTCCTCTTTGCTAGTCCTTAGGCCAGAAGGAAGTTTGCACAGACCAAACGCTGCTTCATTAACTCATTTCCACAACAGACTCTTTACACCTGAGCCACCCATGTGATGTCTGTCCGGGTCGCCTTGCTGAGATCATGATTTCCAGCCCTTCGGAAGGCAGTCAGTCGGTCACAGGCACAGCCCACCTTGAGTAGGGAGCGAAGTTCTACTTTGGTGATGATGGACTTCCGACATGACCGGTGGATCCCTACACAAGAAATGTGTCTCTTCTTGCCCATTTACTTATCCAAGCCACTGACTTGCATGGTCTCTCGTGGATGTTGGCTGTACACAGTCTGCTGCGTACTATACGATTTCATTTATTCTCTTGCTCAGAAGACTCCCTCGCTCCGACCACCGGGAACCCTCCATGAGGTTAATGTTTGAGGACATTGCCACTTGTAAGATTAAACACTTTGCATTTATCTTGGACACTTTCTGCCTGGTTCTAGAACCAGTTGTTGACCTAAGGAATTATGGTCCTTTATATATTGGAGCATGGAATTAGACACCAAGAGCTGGGCACTGTGCGTGTGCTTACTTGTTCTGGGACCATGCTGCTGCTGTTGTTGTTTGCATTTGTAAAATTCCTGGGTATATAAGGTACCTTTTGATATTAGCTAGCAGCAGTTACGCATGTGTGTGTTATCTATAAATAAATACGCACAAACGCATCATGAGCATGTGGCCCAGTCTTAACTCCTGCGTAACAAAAGTACTCCTGGCTAATTTTGCTGTAAAATGTTACCATTAACAGAACCAGTCCTAACAAACAAAAGTCACCGTGACTCCGCCATGATTTCAATATTCCTGAGAGAATCCGTTACTGAGGCGCTGACCATAACTCCACGGCCAAGAACGGCGAGGTATGGCTGCAGTAGAACCGCCACGGAGTCAGGGGAAAGTTAGTGCTGTGAGCTATGCATTTGCTTGGCCACAGCAGGGGTGCAGTCAGGAGAAGCTTCAGCCAGGGCTTCAGGGGACACAGCCATGGCCAGGGCCCTGAGTGGGTGACAGCCTTGGCCAGGATGCTGGGTGAGTCCCATAGCTGAGTTTCCTCAGACAGAGCTGGACAGACCCTGGCAGGGTCCTCCTGGCCGTCCACCTGGTTCCTGGACCACCGTGGGCATCGGTCTTCCAGTTACACACCTGTCTCCACCAGGAGCACCTGGGCGAAGATGTGGTTGGGCAGGCAGTGTCTCTCAGGCCTGAGAACAAGGAACGAAAGATGCGTCTGCCGCTGTGGGGGTGCTGACATAGGAATGGTGAGCCATAAACTGAAACCAGGATCACAGGTAGAGATGTGTCCCCCGTTTCGAGCTTTCAGATATATCCCACTCCTCTGAAAAGCACTGGAGCCCCGCAGCAGGAGACAGGTTAGTGCTGAGCCTGGTTCTTCCGGAACAGATAAACACCCCGAAAATCAACGCTCTTGGAGAGAAAGCTCCCAGGGGCCTCCCCGTGGCCCCTGCAGGCTGCACACACAGGCAAGATGGAGATACAGACCAAGGGCAGACCTTGGGCTCGGATTTCATAACAGCCTAACCTTGCAGGATTGCTGGTGATGACTTCATGGGCAAGATGGGAACGCTCTCTCGAGGACTGTGTCCAGCTTGGGACGAGGTTGGGTCACCTTGGAAAGCCGCCTTCCACAGGGAAGGGCCTGTTCCTTCCGGACTTTCCAGATAGAAGAGCTGGCGTCGTTGATAATGTCTGCCAGGAGAAGGCATCTGCCTGAGATTTTTGCCTCCGTCTGTGAAGATGTGTTCCTGAGCACCGGATGCTCTGCAACCTGGTCTGGAGCAGCCACAGTGCCACTGGCCGCTATTTCCCATCCCTTCCTATTGGCCTAAGAGGGGTTCAGCCATTAAGCCTTGCTCCTTAGCAGCTGGAATCCCAGCTGGGAAGAATCCCCCAAGGCAGGCAACTCTGTTTCCCTCTGTCAACCCCCACCCCTCCCCTGTCCCCTAGTCCTCTCTTGTGCCTTCCCCTGCTGGCCTCACAAAGCCCTCCCTCACCACAGCCAGGCCAGAGAAACAAATGCATTCTTGTCAGCGAATCCACAAGCTTTCAGTTTGGGGTTAAAAGCACAGAAAATCGTAGTATCAGTTGTCATTGTTGCAGCCCTAATGTCACCCTAGTCAAAAGCACCACTGATTAAAACCAGGGCAGTTAATAAACCACAGGCTTTATTTCCCCTCAAATGTCTATAACCACTTTCTTCAACCCCTATTAAAAGGCAAAACCCCAAGAAAAACACAGCTTTGGAGACCAAGCGCCCCATTCCCCAGAGGAGAGGAGAGTGCGCCAGAAAGAAATTGTTCTCCTTCCCTCTCACCTTTCCCCCACTTAGCAGAGTCAAGCATTTTTTTAATAACTAAAGAGAGAAATCAATAAAACGGCAGGAGAGAGCTATCCGTGCTCTGCAGCGTGAGAGCCATGGCAAGCAGGCCCCCTCGGCCTGGCCTCCTGCATCCAGGCATTTGCCAGCAATTCCCCAACTCTGACTCACATCCTGGTTACCTCCTCCTCCTCCTGCCTTCCCCTTAAGGGACCCATTTTTTTTCCCCTCCCATCTAAGCCAAAAGAATTTTTCTGGATTAAGAGGACTGATGAGGGCACTTTTAATATTTGAGTTCAGGTTTGCAAGCTCCATAAAACGGACCGACTCCCAACTGCCTGCTTTGTGATCCCCCTGGGATGCTTTTTCTTCCTCATTTGCTCTGCAGCAAGCAGGTAGACCCCTCCGCAGGTGCTGTCTCCGTCCCCCTGGAAGCTTTGCCAGCTGGACGGCCAGCCCTGACAGCCTCACTCTGCTGTCCACCCCCCCAACCCCCAACCCCGGTGCAAGATGTAACATCTTCCAAAAAAATACTTCACCCAGTGGTGGAGGGACTTAGAAGACATCTTTCATGTTGATGCCATCTGTCTCTCAGTTAAAAACTGGTTTGACGACATGCTGAGCAGCTCAGAGGGGAGCAGGTCCCAAGCCTGGAGGGGAAAGTTTTGACAATTGATTCCAGGGAACACTGGATTCCCCTCCAACCTACCCTGGCCCTGGACTAACAAGGAGGTGGAAGGGAGGGAGGTTGGTGAATTTCCAGGGCTTTCCAGCCCTGGATCATCCTTTGTTCTTTGTTCTTCTGCATTTGCAGGACTGTTCCCTTGCTCCCCAAGCTAAAGCCAGCTTTACCTTAAATCCTAGGAACCCTGAAGTTAGTAGGGCAAACGGGCCTTTTATAAGGAGAATCCTTGCCAGGAACCACACAAACTCAGCTCCTGTTGGTGAAGGCTTCTCAGAGGCAAGGGGCCTGGGCCAAGCCTAGCACCATCCTGAGCCTGAGGTCTGAGACCTGACTGCTGCTCCTGAGCCTGAGGTCTGAGACCTGACTGCTGCTCTGGGAGGTAGCTCCATCCACACAAGTGTCCTCCCTGAGGTCATACCAATAGTCCCTCTGGTCTCCCAAATGGGGAAGAAAACACAAACAAAAACAAAACTCCACCAAGTGCCTCCCTCCCTCCCTCTGTGACATTTTCCATCTTTTTTTCACATCCAGTCACACCACCACCCATGGGGTAATCATTTTCAGATGACAGCAATGCGCTAAATGTCACGCTTAGTGGCAGGGTGGGGAGTGTGTGTGTGTGTGTGTGTGTGTGTGTGTGTGTGTGTCTGTGGAGTCTTCAGATGAAATTATAAATGCCACCTGAAGGTGCATGGTCCTGAAGAAGCTCGCCAACTCAGACCACGTAGTCCTGCAGGAAAACTGCCTTTGTCTGGATGAAGACACATTAAAGACATAAAAAGACACTTTTTAATTGGGTGTGCTCTAGCAATTTTAGTACTTAGGGCAGGGCTGTCAGTGTTTCCATCTTAAACATTTTCAGCAACAACAACAACAACAAAAAAAAGCGAACAAAAAAAATCCTATGTCACCGTTGTTCTCCAGAGAACTAGGAAAATGAGTCCACGCCCTGTCAGGACTGTCCTCCTCCCTGTAAGCCACCATGACTAAGGACAGTCGTCTCATGAGAAAGTGTTGCCCATATCTCCCACCACCTTATCTTTTGGGACAGGGTCTCCCATCCAACCTGGGGCTCATCTGTTCATCTGGCCTAGCTGGCCATGGAAAGACACCTGTCTCAGCCTGCCGAGAGATAATCCTTTTGCACACCGCAAAGATGCGCTGCTCTCATTGGCTTAATAAAGAGCCAATCGGCCAGTTCGAGGCAGGGAGAGGTTAGGCGGGTAAGCCACGCTGAGAGGATGCTGGGAAGAAGAAGGGCGGGGTCACTGGGGTGAGCCAGTTAGCAACAAGCCTAAGCTATCAACCGAGCATTTATAATTAATAATAAGTCTCTGTGGCTATTTGGGAACTGGCTTATGGGACAGAAACTTCTGCCAACATCAGTCCAACCAGCACTGGGCTGATAAATGCACACCCACCTCTGGCTGTTAAATATGGATGCTGGAGATCAATACTTGGGTCCTGTTGTTTGCATGACAAGTACTTTACTGACTGAACTGTCTCTTGAGCCCAAGGCGCCCCTTTTAAGACTTGTCCACTGGTACCTCGAACTGTGCCCTCAGGCAAGCTGGTTAATTCAGTGTGGAAACAAAAAGAACGAATATAAGAAAAGAGATGTGTAGGGAAGAAAGGGGGATTTACAGGGGTGGGAGGGACGTGACAGAATGTGAGGAGAGCAATTAGAATACATTATACACATGTGTGAAATTGTCCAAAGTACAATTCAGTTAGTAAAAAAAAAAAAAGGTTGAATGCTAATTTTCGTCTTTACACAAAATAGAGCAATTCACTTCACTACTGAAAAACGGAAAGGCATGTATACATCCCGGTGAGATTTTATTATCAACTTGATAACACCTAGATTTACTTGGGGAGAGGGTCTTGTGGCCATGTCTGTAAGGGACGGTGTTGATTAATAATTGACACGGGAAGATCCAGTCTACCTAGGGTGGCACCATCCCTAGGCAGGTAGGCATGGGCTACATAAGAAAGACAGCCAAGCATGAACCACTGAGCATATTCCACTCGGCTATGAACTATAGCCTGTGGGATGAAATAAACCACTCTTCACCGAGTTGCTTTTGCCTGTGGTGGTTATCACAGGAACAGAAAGGAAACTAGGGCAGCATCTGCAGTGGTTCGCATGGGAACAGCCCCCATAGGCTCATGGGATTGAATAATTGGGTCCAGCTGGTGGAACTGTTTGGGAAGGATTAGGAGGTGCAGCCTTGTTAGAGCAGGTGTGTCACTGGGGCTGGGCTTTGAGGTTTCAGGAGACTTTGCACTCTCTACACCCAGTTTGCAGTTTGAGATATGAACACTTATTCTGGTCCTCTCTTTCTGCTATTGTGAACTCTAGCCCTCTGAATCCATAAGCTGAATTAAACACGCTCTTTTATGAGTTTCCTTAGTCATGATGTCTCACCACAGCAGTAGAAAAGTAATCAATACAGCATAGCTCTTGTTCCCCTTCCCTCCCTCCCTCCCTCCCTCCCTACCTCTCCCTCCCTTCCTTCCTCCCTCTCTCTATCCCCCCTCTCTCCCTCCATCCCTCTCTCTCTCTGTCCCTCTGTCCCTCCATCTCTCTCTTCCTTCCTTCCTCTTTCCCTCGTTCTCTCTCTCCCTCCCTCTCCCTCCCTTCCTCCCTCTCTCCCTTCCTCTCTCTCCCTCTCTCTCCTTCCCTCCCTCCATCTCTCTCCATCTCTCCCCCCCTCTCTCTCTCTCACACACACACACACACACACACACACACTCATGAAACAAGGACTCCTGGGACAGTCACACAGTGGAGCCATCTTTGGCTGCAGATTCTGTAGCCCCACCGGAGCCTTCATTTGGCTGCAGCCCCACCTGGTAACCGGCACCAACTAGAGGCAGAACTACCTGGCTAAGTCACCCTGGATTGCCAACCCACAGTGAGATGAAAACCATGTGTCACTTGAGTTGTCCACGTTCTGGGCTAATTTGTCACAGAGCAGTAACTGATGTGGACATTTCTCTCCTAAGACACATTTCTTCCAGAGCAACTCCAGTTGTCCATGTGTGTTCTGTAGCTGGCAAAACTGAACAGAACAAGGAAATCAAAGTCCTCTTCCACTTTCTCAGGACCGGGAAACATACCACACGCTTTGAAACTTCGTGAATAGCTACTCCGACTCTACGTAGACCACAGGGCATTACACCTGGCTGCCTCGCTTTACTGTGATCCAAACTTAGGTGCAGGTTCCTCTTGCTTCTGAAGTCCACACCTCAACCTCCCGACGTCTTCACATAAGGAAGTGGGAAGTTTCCCTCCACCCATCCCTGTCTGTTTTAACATGATCCTCACACCTCTTGACCCAGAACACTAGAGACTGGCACTCATGTTCCTTGAAGTCACTTTTAATTGGTAGAAAAACATTTCCGGGGGGGGGGTAAATGAGCTGAATGCAAGCCTTGCTGCAGCTTAGATGGGATGGAGATAGATTCCGGCACTCCGGAGTCTCAGAATACTAAGTGTTACAGCTCAGATGGAAAGGTATCCTGGCACTTGGGAGTCACAAAATACCACAGGTCACAGTAAACATAGCAACTTACAGCCTTGCTCCAGGGAGAGGCTTCCCCAGTGTATCAGCTCTGCTCCAGCAGGAGAGGGTTTCCCCAGCTCCAGGGAACAGCTTTACGGTGTAACAGCTCTGCTCACCCAAACCTCATTCGAGAGATTTATTGGGAGGGAAGAATCCAGGAGAGTAGCTGCCCCTGTCAGGGTGGAATGAAGCAGCCAGACAGCCACAAGCTGAACAGATGCGGGGTTTATATAGGGCTCCTTAGGGGGTGGAGTTCTTCCAGGCAGATTTCCAGGGTGGGGATTGGTCAGATTTGAATCACTGAGCTCAGAATGGCTAGATCT